TCATTCTCATGCAGAAGCCAGAAGAGGGCATTGGATCCCCTAGAGATGAACTTACGGATGGTTGTGAGCTGCCATGTGCATGCTAGGAGTTGAACTCAGGTCCTTTGGAAGAGCAACCAGTGTTCTAAGCTGTTCATCCATCTCTCTCTGTTTTTAGAGAAAGAATCTGTTGTTATCGAACGCTTGCTAATTTTACTCAATTGGCTGGCCAGTGACCCCCAGAGATCCAACTCTCTCCACCTTCCAAGTGCTGGGATTACACTTGTGTGCTGCCATTCTGGCTTTTCACAGGTGTTGGGGATTAAGATCAGGTCCTCCTGCTTGTGTATCTTATGTATCTTGTGGTTACCTGACAGCGTGTGGTCCTCCCGCTGTGTATATCTTGTGGTTACTTGTATGGAGTGTGGTCCTCCTGCTGTGTATCTGCTGTGTGTCTTGTGTATCCTGTGGTTACCTGACAGCATGTGGTCCGCCTGCTGTGTATCTATCTATCTTGTCATTACCTGCACAGAGTGTGGTCCTCCTTTGATATCCATGAGTGCTTGGTTCCAAGACTCCCCTTAGACAGTAAAATCCACTTGATGCTCAGGTCCTCTAGAAAATGGTACTGACATTAAACGCATTTGGGAGAAAGAGGCAAGCAGATCTCTGTGAGTTCAAGGCCAGTCTGGTGAGATAGCAAATTCCAGGCCAAAAAGGGCTATTTAGTGATATTCTGTCTTGAAAAAAAAAAAAAAAAAAAAAAGTAAATGGTTAGAGAGAAGGCTCCGTCATTAGCAGCACTTGCTGCTCTCACAGAGGACCCAGGTTTGATGGCTAAAACCCACATGGTGGTTTGCAAACTATCTGGAACTGGTTCCAGAGACTCCAACGCCCTCTCCTGGTCTCCATGAGCACTACATGTACACAATGCACAGACATATATGAAGGCAAGACATCTAAGCACATAAACAAATTTTAGCTGGGCGGTGGTGGCACACGCCTTTAATGTCAGCACTCAGGAGACAGAGGCAGGTGGATCTCTCAGTTCCAGGCTAGCCTGGACTACAAAGCAAGTTCCAGAGTTCTGTAACACAGAGAAGCCCTGCCTCAAAACCAAAATAAATGAATAGACAAGCAAATAAATAATTTTTACAATATGTAAATAAAGTGATACAGTGTTTGTTTGTGATGTCCCGTGTCCTTTAAATCATCCTTCAGTTATTTATAATCCCTGGTGGGAAGTAAGGCTATGTGAATAGTTGTTAATGTCTAGGATAAAAAGGACAAGGAAAAAACTTTTGACAGGGCATGCCTGTAATCCCAGCACTTTGCGAGGTAAAGGATCAGAAATTTAATACCCGCAGGGTGTTGGTGTTGCACACTTTTAATCCCAGCACTCTGGAGGCAGAGGCAGGTGGATCTCTGTGAGTTTGAGGCCAGCCTGGTCTCCAGAGTGAGTGCCAGGATAGGCTCCAAAGCTACACAGAGAAACCCTGTCTCAAAAAAGTAGTAGTAGTAGTAGTAGTAGTAGTAGTAGTAGTAGTAGTAGTTATTGTTGTTTAAGACCTTTGGTACATAGTGAATTTGAGGCCAGCCTGAGCTACACGAGACCCAGCCATTCACCTTCCAATAAATACCAAACAAAAAACCCTCTGTTCCAAACTCTGTGTCCACATAGCAAATATGCTGTTTAACATCACTTAGGTGGGTGCTCTTCAGTGCCTAGAAGGAATCCCAGTGGATGAAAATGCTATCCATGTTCTTATTGATGATACCAGCATGGTCTAGGATGGGCGTTGTTGGCTTAGTTTAATAATAAAGATGGGGACCAGTGGGTTGTCGCAGTATGTCATCTGTACCTGACATCTTGAGTTCAAACCTGGGAATCCACAGGGAAGGAAGAGAAGCAATTCCCAAAAGTTGTCCTCTGACCTGCACATGTGCACTGTAGCTCCCACACATGTGCTCCATGTTCACATAAGCCTGGTAAGCATACAGTGATAACAGTGATAATAAATAATATTCTAAAAAACTTAAGCGAAGATGTTACACATCTTTGATCAAAATATTTGAACAGTTAAAGGGGGGACTTTTGTTCATGTTGTTCTAGAAGTTATGAGAGGTCTTGAAAAATCCCTTGGCTCACAGAGAAAAAGCACTCTCGAGGAGTCAACTTGCTGTACCAGGAATGCCTAATGAGGGGTTGCTGCTGCTGCTGGAATACCTGGTACCCAAGGGGAAGAGCATGCCTTGCTGACTGTAAGATAAAGAAGGCCAACAGGGCTTCCTTCCATTGAACTTGCCTGGTGACATTGGTGGGCCTGATTGCCTTTGAGCCAGTATCCCCTCCTGCAGAGTGGGGAGTATGCTTTCAGTTTCAAATAGTGGCTTGCCTGGTTCCCGGTTTTGACTGAAAGTTCCCGGTTTTGAGCCATATAGTTCCAGTGGGCTCCTAGGATTTGGAGAGTGTCTTACTATTCAGGCATCTGTACTGGCCTGCCCTTGGGGTTCTGCCAGGACACACCCTTAGCCCCAGCCAGTAAGAGCACCACCTGTGCCTATTCACTATATTCCCTTTTAAAAGGGCCCCGCCCATCTCCCATCTCTATTTCTCTTCCACCACTCTTGCCGCCAGAGACTGGTCTCAGCCCCATCTCTGCCCTTTTCTTTGCCCAGTCTCTCCTCTTCAATTAACCCTCCCATATGAGCCTTGCTGTATGGCGTGACTTCTCTTCATGCGTTTTTATGAGAATTACAACAGAGGTTCTCAACGCTCTGGACACAGCCTTGGTAGTTTAGATGGCCCCTTGCTTTGGGAAGTGCCCCTGGCATTTGAGTGGGTGTCTGGACTCTGGTCCTGGCTTTGGAGCTAGTTCTGGAAAACGATAATAATTAAAGTGAAAGCATGCCTTTTCCTGAGACTTTTGGTGAGGTTTTAGATTTCTTTCGGGGGCTACCAAGGAATCCTAGCACATCATGTTTAAAATATTAATTTCCTGGAACAGGCACAAGTTTACTATGCCTTACGGCACTTGTATTCTCACTTCTCTGCTCATCTGTTACCAAGCAAACAACTTGTCTTAGTTAGGGTTTCCATTGCTCTGAAGAGACACCATGACCACGGCAAATCTTACAAAAGAAAACATTTAATTGGAGCTGGCTTACAATTTCAGAAGTTTTTTTTTTTTTTTTAAAGATTTTATTTATTTATTACGTATACAGTCTTCTGCCTGCATGCCAGCAGAGGGCACCAGATCTCATTCAAGGTGGTTGTGAGCCAACATGTGGTTGCGGGAATTGAACTCAGGACCTCTGGAAGAACAGTTTGTGCTCTTAACCGCTGAGCCATCTCTCCAGCCCCCAATATCAGAAGTTTAGTCCATTATGGTGTGAGGCATGGCAGTGTGCAGGCAGACCTGGTGCTGGAGAGGTAGCTGAGAGTTCCCTATCTTGATCTGCAGGCAGCAGGAAAAAGACTGAGGGAGACACTAGGCCTTGCTTGATCTTCTGAAACCTCAAAGCCTGCCCCAGCAACATTTCCTCCAGCAAGACCACACCTATTCCATTTTGTTTTGTTTTCGAGACAAGGTTTCTCTGTGTTTCTCTGACTGCCCTGGAACTCACTCTGTAGACCTCTGTGGCCTTGAACTCACAGAGATCCTCCTGCCTCTGCCTCCTGAATGCTGGAAGTAAAGGCGTGCACCATCATTGCCCAGCATAAAAAAATGTATATCTTAAACAACAGCAAAAAACTTGTCTGGGCTGGAGAGATGTCTCAGCTATTAAAGCCTAATAAGGCTCAAGACCAGAAACCAAGCTGGGTGTGTGAGGATGACTCTTAAGAGATAGAATGTCTGTGTACCACACTCAAGGCCCTGGCGTCAGTCTCCAGCACAGGGAAGGAAGTGGAGGGAAGAATAAAAGCCCAGTTAGCTGACTTAACCTTTGACATTTTGGGAGCCAGAAAAGTTGGACTTGTGGGCGGTGTCTTGCCCCTTGCTAGCAGGTAGAGTTGGTGACCTCCCTCTCTGTCTGGTCTGATGGGGTTTTCCAGTCCCACCCTGAAAGGTGGCTGTGGTTGTTGCTGTTTACAGTCTGTTGGATTCCTCAGGTGACGTGCTGGTGGTCCCCGTCAAGCTCCACAAGTGTCCTTTCTGCCCTTACACTGCCAAGCAGAAGGGTATCCTCAAGCGGCACATCCGATCGCACACTGGTGAGCGGCCATACCCCTGTGAGACCTGTGGCAAGAGGTTCACACGACAGGAGCACCTTCGGAGCCATGCCCTGAGTGTAAGTGTCAGTGATGCCACTGCAAGGGCTATGCCTACTTTCTAATTGGAGGGCGAGCCTGTCTTTCACTTCTCTGTCCCCTGGAAGTTTTTAGAGAATTTGGTGATGTTTGCTTTTACCAATTAAAGCCAGGTTGGCAGCACTTAGAAAATTAACACTGGTGTAGGAAGCTTAGTTTTTGCTCAAGGATGGCTGTCATGAGGCCAGAATTGGTAGGGCCCGCAGACTGTGGGCATCTTCCCCTGATACGGGTATAGAGTAAGCTGTATCCCCAATTTTCCACCAGACTCAGCACCTCGGGGTGGGAGAGCAATGTACCTTCCACTTGCACAGCAAGTCCTCTTAACTGCTGAGTCATCTCTCCAGCTCCTTGACCCTTTTTCTGTGACATTTACCGTGTCCATTTGTGATGACAGGTCCACAGATCCAACCGTCCAATTATCTGCAAAGGCTGTCGAAGAACTTTTACCAGCCACCTGTCCCAGGGGCTGCGGCGCTTCGGGCTGTGTGACAGCTGCACCTGTGTCACAGATCCTCAGGATGAGGATGATTTGATCCCCGTCAACCTTAGCCTGGTGGAGGCTTCATCCGAAAGTCACGAGAAGAGTGACACGGACGACTGGCCCATCTATGTGGAGTCTGGTGACGAGAATGACCCAGCTGTGGAGGATTCCGATGATAAGCCACACATTCGGCCCAACTTACCAGACCACGAGACGCTTACATAGCAGTGAATGGGTGGGAGAGAGGTTTTAGGTGTTGTTGCTTGTCCTACGGTGAAAGCCACCATTCATCTAATTTGGTGGGGCTTAGGGGCTGTCTACCCCTCGGTGTTGTTCCTATTGCTTTTTTTTGTTAGACTACATAGCAGAGTCTGGATTTTGTGACTCAAGACTGCTAACTTTTTAGCATGGATTCTGAGGGTTTTGTTGGCCATTACTACCTTGGTTCTGAGTAAATCAAGGTTGGCCCCGAGCCTCCCCAGGGGAGAAGTGGACTCTGGGTAAGAGGGAAACAACAATAACCTCCCCGCTTCACACTCTTTCAACTGTCTCCATTCTTTTATCATTACCTCTTTCTGAAGAGGTAGGAAAATACGCTATCAGGGCATCTGTCTTTCCCCTGCCAAGCTTTTCATAACAAATTCCACAGCTTAATTTTCTGGCAAAGACTTGAAGGGGAACCTGCTTTGATACAAAGTAGGTAGGGCCAACTTCATGGTCATAAAAGGTAACTCCCTAAACCTAAGACCGTGCACCTAATGGCTGGGAGTCACGTGCAGGCAAACACTGAAATGAGTTGCAAGTTCGTTAGGGCCCCCCATGCTTTCCCAGCTGGATTAAATTAAATCAAATTAAATGAGCCTCCAAAAGAGAGCCTGTGGGCCAGGTCAGGGAAGTGTCCCTCTAGTAGGCTATTTGACAATTGCATACACACAAATACCCTATTCTGGGATCATAAAACAAGTTGTTTGGGTAAAACTCAAAATTGCTCTCCTGCTTTCTTTAGTCATTTCCAAGAGGTGACTCAGTGCAATCTGGGATTGTATGTCCCACTGACATTCTTTTACCTAGTTTACGCTCAGACGTGAACTGGGGAGAAACACAGGCCTATCTAATGTTGTCTATGTCTTTGCTTCTAGAAGACCTTCTAGAAGGAAGGAGCTGACTACATCAGATTTTTTTGTTTGGTTTTTGTTTTTTTTCGAGACAGGGTTTCTCTATGTAACAGCTCTGGCTGTCCTGGAACTCACTCTGTAGACCAGGCTGGCCTGAAACTCACAGAGATCCGCCTGCCTCTGCCTCCCAAGTGCTGAGATTAAAGGTGTGCACCACCACTACCTGGCTAAAGATTTATTTATGTATTAAGGCCAGTCTACTTTTTAACCATGCTACTGCTAGGTTACAAGTCTAGCAAAGTAGATGTCTTTTTAAAGTGTCAAATGGCAGGAAAGACTGGATAAAGGACATGTTAGAAGGCATTTTCATAGAATTTTCTTATGTAAAGTATCCAAAGTGGATTTTAAAAGGAATCCTTGTCTTCCTTTAATTTTGATACAGTTTCAAAAGGCAGTGAAATCACCGTCTTTCTGCCTCTTGAACAACAAATAACAAATCAGAAGAATTTATAAATGGACTGATAGGTATTGTCCGGTCATTTGAAGGTTCAAGTGGTTGTCTGTGTTTTGAGACAGGGTCTCTCTATGTAGCCTTGGCTGCCCTGAACTTACTCTGTAGACCAGGCTGGCCTTGAACTCAGAAATATCTGCCTACCTCTGCCTCCCCAGTGCTGGGACTAAAGGTGTGCGCCACCACACATGTCATGACTGGAGGTCCAGCTCATTGTCTGTCATTAGAAAGGTCTGGAGTCCAATCCCTGGTACTTCGATAAATAGATACCTGATTGTCTACAAGAAAAAAAAAAATTAAAAAAAAAAAGAAAGCAAAGTAGTCGTTTGGTTTCATTTTGGTTTTCTCAGTCGTAGGCATTTTATCCAGGACCTTACTCAAACTGGGCAGGTGCTTTTACTGACCCATGCCCCCAGCCCCTGGGAAGGTGTTAAAACTGTCCTTAGTGGTAGAATCCTAGGACAGCTCTCTGGAACAGTGATGACATTTTGATGTTACTGTGATGCCCACAACCAGTTAGTGGCTTCATCTTCTTGAACAAGGCATGGACCAGCCCAGTTGTGGCTACCTAGTGAGCCACATATAAACACTAGTACCAGACAGGCCTAGTGGCACATCTAATAGTGTTAATCCCAGCACTCTGGAGGTAGAGACAGGCAGATCTCTCTTAAATTCAAGACCGGCCTGGTCTACCGAGTACCAGTCCATGATACATAGCAAGACTCTCTCTCAAATAAATCAATGCACGAAGTTTTGAGATTTTTATTAAAAGTATTGCACATTTTTTAGGACAGTCTCCTACCACATGGTGTCTGACAAATGACTAAAGGGGCCTGGGTGGCTCCATGGTAAAGCAATTTCCCTGCACATGCAAGGGCTCCAATTCCGTCCTCAGCATTGCAAAAGAAATTCACTGACTAGATCATAAGTTACACAGCGAATATTATCAGGGTCCAGAAACACTTTTCTTGCATGAAACAAAAATATTAGCTGTTATTTGCAGCCGGACATGTTGGCCCACATCTGTGAGCCTAGTCCTGAGGAGGCAGAAGCAAGAAGATTGAGGGCAGCCTAGTCTACAAAGCAAGCAGTGGGCCAGCCAGAGCTACATGGTACATAGCAAGATGGTATCTTTAGTAAACTAAGAGAGATCTTAAAGGAAAGTCAAATGGATGTATAAATTGATCTTACAGGACTTATATTTGATAGTTTTACTCTGTATTTAACCTGTTTCTGTTTTAAAATGACCTTTCTACCTCACAATTTGAATGCTGTCTGCTTCCTACCTCCATGGGTAGAGCCATGACTGATCTTTATCATGTCTCTGGTGAAGAAAAAAAAAAAAAAAAAGACTTAACTGTAAGACAGTGCTTCTTGGCTGGATATAAATTCGATGTCATCTGGGTTACCTTTGATGTATGAAGCAGGGACAGGGAACTTCTGGCATCCAGTAGGTCTAGGACAGGGATGCTGCTGAAACATTTTACATAGCAGAAGGTCCCAAAAGAAAGTCAGTATGGGTTGGGTGTAGTAACACACGCTTTTAATCCCAGCACCCAGGGAGGTAGAGACAGGCAGATCTTGGTGAGTTCAAGGCCAATCTGATTTATATAGCTATCCCTAGGCAAGCTAGGGGTACAGAGTAAGACATTGTCTCAAAATAAATAAATATAAAAATGAAAAAAAAACAATAGTACCAAGATTGAGAAATTCTAGGTATATGATAAAGCAGGGTTTTTAAAATTATCTTTCATTTTTAAATTTTGTGTTTTGTTTCTGAGACCAGATGTTTCACTGATTGCCCGATATCTGATGTAGGTTTATGATATAGAAACTTGGACATTCAGCCAGGTATGGTAGGAAACATCTGGAATCCCAGTGCTAATGAAGAGGAGGCCAGACGATCAGGAGTTCAAGGTCAACCTCAACTACAAAACAAGTTCAAGGCCAGTATGGGATGCTTAAGAATCTGTATCAGCAGGGCATGGTGTCCCATACCCTAATCCCAGCATTCCAGAGGCAGAAGCAGGTGGATCTCTGTGAGTTAAAAGTAAGCCTGCTCTACATAACCAATTACAGGCCGACGAGGGCCTGTCTCAAAAATTAAAATAAAATTGAGGGGCTGGTGAGATGGCTTAGTTGTTAAGAGCTCTTATTGCTCTTTCATAGGACCCAAGTTCAGTTCCCAGCACCCCAGCTGCCTGTAACTGTTGTCCCAGGAACATCTGATGCCTGTGGTCTCTACAGGCACCTGTGCATATAGGCACATATTCCTGCCCACATAGTCACATGTAAGTACATCTAAGAGAAAAATCCCGGAAGGAAGGAAGGGAGGGAGGGAGGGAGGGAGAGAGAAAGAGGAAGGAAGGGAGAGAGAGAGAGAGAGACAGAAAGGAAGGAAGGAAGGAAGGAGGGAAGGAAGGAAGGAAGGAAGGAAAGGAAAGGAAAGGAAAGAAGGAAGGAAGGAAAAGACTCCGACTCTGGTTCATATCCCAGAACCATTCTTTCCTGTCTCTGACCTTCTCTTGTTTTTTTGTTTTTTGTTTTTGTTTTTGTTTTTGTTTTGTTTTAATTGTTTTAATTCAGGGTGTCACTCACCTCAGCTGTGATTCACTGTTAATCAGACTAGCCTCAAACTCAGAGAGCACTGTCTGCCTTTGCCTCCTGGGTGCTGATACAAGCCACCATATGTGGCCATTTTTGTTAAATGACTCTGCCTCACAGTGGCAGAATCTTGGGAGGAAAACAGGCTGTGAAGCCCAATGTGTGTATTGTATCAATGTGATGTCTCAGATTGTTCATTCCTAGTTGACTGTTTGGAGTTTGTGTAATGTATGTTATAATAACTGGGTCGCTGTATTCTGTCATTTTTAAAGAGCTGCTTCTTTGGTGTGTACTGTCAGATCATGAACTGGTCCCTTTTTAAACATGCTTTCACATTTGGTGGTCAGTATTTATCATCCTAGTATCTTCAGTGTTTGACTCGTGGTCTTAAAGGTTTAAAAAGTGTTAGGGGTGAGTGTTGGGTTTGAACCCAGGGCCTCTCACTTGCCCTGGGTTCAAAGCAAGCAGTGCACCACTGAGCCATACCTGCAGCCTGTGGTCACTTTTTTTTTTTTCTTTTCAAGACAGGGTTTCTCTGTGTAACTTTGGCTGTCCATGGTGACATTTTTTATAAGTAAATTCACAGTTGGGCCCAACACTGACCACTAGTGACTGAGTTTGTATTATTGCATCATTCTAGCACATTCAGAATTCTAGAACATAAAGTTCACAAAAAGATATTTTTGTCTCATAGTAGATATAGGGCATGGATGGGCCCAAGATAAAACTTAAATGAAGTTCAAAACCGAATATTTAGTGAGCTAGTTCTCTTGAGGGGTAGGGAGTCAATTAAGAAATGACTCTGAGCTGGGCCATCCAGTAGGCAGAGGCAGGTGATCTCTGTGAGTTTAAGGCCAGCCTGATCTACAAAGTGAGTTCCAGAACAGCCAAGGCTGTTACACAGAGAAACCCTGTCTCAAAAAAAAAAAAAAAAAATTACTCTGAAACCAGCCTAATTCAATATCAAGTACCAGACAGACAGACAGACAGACAGA